GCCTAACTATATCCTGGTTAAACTACTTGTTCCCTGAGCAACATTTACATCTTGCTGTTACCATTACAAACACATGGATAATAATTCCTTCTCTACTAGTACTTGAAGGTAATGGTAGACATTAAATTAAATGAATAGCTTTTCCCACCAGAATGTATCATCTGAGAAGTCTGGGTGTGGACATGAAGCAGGGAAAGGAGGAAAGTCTGTGGGGTGACCCATCAGCAATGTCAATAGTGCCAAATAATAAGACATTTCTGCTACTTATTCAGAAAAGAAATAAATAGAACAGCATCTTCAATTTTTATTTTACATTTCTTTGGTTTAGCATTTGCAAAGTTCTTATTATCAAGAAATGTAGAGTCTTGGAATAAAAAAAAGATGAGTTATTACAGAAGGATTTGGCAGTATTTATTCTGCCAACAGTTGTGTGTGACTCACTGTTGTGTAGTGCTCTGTGTGTTTTTTTATAAGTGTGATTCCAATAATGAATACATTGAGAACTTGGGTTCATTTATCAGCTAGCAATTTGTTTCTGTGTCAAATTCACTTGTTCCTCAAAGCACAAATCAGCTCTAAGTCGGAAAAGAGATACATAGGTGTAAATAGGAAAGCTCCTGTTGGAATAAATGAAGGTCTTCATTACCTGTAAAAGATATAAATTAAACCCACTAAACTCTTTTCTTTGTCAGTTCTTATTATATAAATATAACTGACCAGTACTATTATTGCCGTGATTTAGAGGTATAGCTCTGAAAGTGCTGCCTTCCAGTTGTTTCCTCTGACCTCCAATGGACACGTCAGTGAGAAACACTGTAGCATCCTTATTTTTTTGGCCTCAGAAAAATGAAAAGAGGGAACAATCCTCCTTTTCTAAATAGAAGGGGACAACTGTGTACTGCCTCCTAATATAAGTAAGAAGAGAGTTGTGAGATTAAGGAGTATTTGCTCTCAAATAAAGTGCTTTATTTGAAGCTTCTCTAGATATCAGAAGGAAATCTTGGAGCACTCTATTCCCTTGCCCATTTCTTTACTACCTGCTACGTTGTTTCTGCCAGTTGATATGTTTTGTATATATTGGTTATTTTCCTTTATAAATTAAGGAAAGTCAGGATGGTTATGAAAAAAAAAAGGGGGGAGACTTTTTCAGGAATACATTTAAAAATCAAAATAAACTTCAGACGAAAATATATGCATGAAAGGTAATAGCTAAACTTTAGTTCCAGAAACTGTGGTTAGCACTGTAATACAAGTATATGCCTTTATATATGTTCTTAAAAAAAAAAAAAAAAGCTTATTTGTTGAAAGAAAGAAAAAATAATTGCGTTTTCTGTTGTGCACAACTCCTGAAATGGTCATGTGTTTTCAGTAGTAGCAGTATTGCAATAGTATTGCATTTAGGCTGCAGCTAGTTTAGATAATGTCATGATCTCATACTATTGATCTGACAAACTGTGTTCCCTTACTTTATGAAATAATTTACGTGTAATTCATAAGGTTAAGTAGGCAGATACACAACAAGGGATTAATCCTGTTTTAGAGCATGTAACATTTCCAGTAGTAAAGCTGTACTTACATAAAAAGTGAAAAAGAGGAGAAAACCTGAGAATTTGTATCCTGCTATGTTGATTCCTCTGGTCTCTTTTAGTGGGAACAGGGACAAACTTTATCTTTTCTGAGCCTCTGCTAGTGCACATTCAATGTACAAATATTTTCATTAACAACATTTTCTACAATTCTCTCTTGTCTGTATTTCTAATGGATTGAGTTTTGTAGGAAACTGCTTCTTCACTGAGATTAGCATGAAAATGGAGCATGTGATTAACTGAAATAAAAGTAGCTGTGCAAAATATTTGTGATGGCAGATATGAAAAAATAAACAAGTGAAAGAAAATTAAATAGTTTTTTTAAAACAAGAACAAACAAACAAAGAACCTAAACCAAAAATCTGATATTTCATTTCAGAGCCTTAATACAGTTTTGTTTCTGAGAGAAGTGTGTTTTTATGCCAACAGCAACAAACTCAAACCACGTTTGATATTAAATCTGGGGAAGGTTTAGCCTATAGTCATAAAAAGTACTTGTATATACTTTATAAAAGGTGAAGTCTAGTAGTCAGTGTGGCTGCTCAGTACATATGATACGTATTAGTGTAGTGTATTAGCTAGTTCAAAAGCAGAACTCAAGTTATTTTGAATATCAGCAAAGTTAAAATATTGCCCAGAACATGTCTTTGTGGAAACTGTAGCTTCAATAGTATATAAAGATCAGTTTTATCTATCAATAGCCTTAAGGAACTGTAAGTAAATAGTTTATTTAGACTCAATGTATGGTATTTCTGTGCATATGATACCTTTTTTGAAAATATTCTGGTGTATATGTTCAGGAGCAAATATTCTGAGTTCAGGTTCCTATGCTGGCACACTGACCTGGACGTCTGCTAGCCGTTCATCACAACTGACAGTCGCTGTATGACTGTATACAGCAACCTCAACACGCTTGAGGGATGCATCTTAGGAATTAACAGGGCATCAATTTCAAAGTTTGTGGGTTTAAAGGTTTAACCATTCACAGAATAAAAATGGTGGTTCGGACAGCATACATGTTGCGAGGTTTAAAAAGAGGTTGCAAGCGTCATGTCCAATAGACCAAGTTTAACCTTTTTTAGCATAGGTGTGATTTTCTTAGTATTGTTCTCTGGAGTTTCCCTCTTTTAAGTCCGTTGGAATGAATTGAGATTAATTATCTCTCTATTCTGAGCTGACGATCACTGAAAGCATGGAACTTCAGGAAACCTGGAAGGGTTGAGAGAGGTGAAGAGACCTTTAAATCTGAGAGAAAGGTGAAGAACCTTTATCATGAGGCAAGAGTTTTTACTTTGTTTCCAGTTCAGCTGGTTAAGAAATACAGAAGTTTTTCTGCTGTGAATGAATTACATCCCATTTGTGGGAACATATGGATCACCATATTTTAATCTGTTATGTCTAATATCATGCATATGAGATTTATACTGTATCTCAGAGCTCTGAATGAAAGCAGTATCTTATTTTTCAAATTATCCATGTGGAATGGAGAAAGCTTGAGGTTTCTTAGTACCTGATGCTATAATGGTTGCTAAGACTTTTGGTTGGATGGCTTATAAGAGTAATAATATGCATGTTCCTAAGCTTTTTATCTCTATTTCACTAATGCTGATATAGTTGAGTTTTAGTGCTGGTATGTAGTGACTAAAAATTTTTTACAGTCTGATAGACATTTGTTTGTGTCAGGCTATTTCCTTGCAGGCAAACTGTAAACCATTGCAAACAGCGCTAAATTGCACTCCCTTGCAAACAAGCAAGTGTGCCAGGAGAACCAGGAAAAGGTGTGACTGCGGTTTATACCGATAACAGGGAGATTAAAATTAGCCACATGGGGTAGTGATGATAGCTAGTACATATTCTGAGTTCTGTCACTATAAAATCTGCCTACAAAGCTTGGTAAACACTTAGGAAATGAACAGTTTTTGATTTGAGGTGATGCAGAAACATTCTTCAGTACATCGTGTAGCCTAGGCTCCAAAATCATCCAGATTGGGGGGCATACTGGAAAGCAAAATGTAGATCAGAATGTATATTCAGATAGTCTATTAAAAATTTATGCTAGCACAAAACATGTCATCATTTAATGCATAGGTAGAGTAAGAATTTTGTCACTGGGTGATGCCTGAGTCAGATGCACCTTCCGTCAAACAGGTTCAATGCTTCTCAATAGCTCTAATGGTCCTCTTCCTGTGTGCCTGAAGGGGCTTGCCTATAAGCATGCTCAGAGCACTCCCACCAAGCTTGCAAAGATGGCTGCTTTTTCTGAGTTAGGGAATAACAGAGCAGGTCAGTCAACTCATGCAAGATGTAGGAAACCATGGGTTTATTTCTTTCTGTCCATGACTGAAAGAATCAAGCATATCTTGCCTGCCAAGAAAAGGACTGAAGCCTTTTCACTAGGGCTGTGTTCATGCTGAACATGCTGCCCTTCTCTGGCCAAGCAAAGCTCAGATTTGTTTCCACAGCAGGTCTTCAGCAACAGATATGGAACACACCTAGTTAAACTTGTAGTCTGACACTTAAGGCACGCTTTAGGGAGGTAGGTTATGTTAGTTTGAAAGATCACTGTTCTGCCCACCAGAGGCACCAAACACATGGAAGAAAGGCATAGCCTGAATTGTTGTAAAACAATCAGATCTATGAATTACTCAAAGGAAGAAAAGCACTAGCTTTCAGTCCAGAGTAAGTTGCCTGAGGTTCGTCAGAGAAAGCTGTTTATAATATGTGTCTGTTATCAGAATTATTTTTGGCAATAAAATTCTGTTTGCACAGTGTGCAGATTGCCATTTTAAAGGCATCTGACTCCTCCTGTTCCCATATGACTAACACGGCATGAATTTTGGTGGGGAGAATCAGTCTTTTCACTGCTTAACAATGGTATCCCTAAGTTTCTCCTTAGATGTGACCCTTTATTTCTTGGTGTGCTTTTAAATGGATGATCCTGGATATATGGACTTTGGGTGGATCTTGGTGCTCCACTTACTGCCTTTTATGTTAATCTGCTGGATCCATAATCAGAACGATCTGTGGTCAGGTTCCCTGCATATAGTAACAACATACATCAGTGCTAGATGTGTTTCTAGATGGAGATACTGTGACCAAATCCCCACCTGTGAAATAGATGCATGTTTCCTGTATATATGAGCTGGCACACAAATAATATGTCCAGGTACTTCCAGGTAATTAGTCATATAAATGTGAAGCCTACATATCCGTTTGAAAAAATATAGTCCTGATTTGTCTTTTCATATTTTATATGCTATCACTTTTTTCTTCTGCATATTTATTCTGCATATTTATTCTGCAAGAATGTTTTTCTGAGATACCTGTCATTCAGCACAAAAAGGCCATGCAGTTGAGCAGGTCAAAGATTCTGCAGGTTTTTTTCTGTATCTAATAATTATTTTTCTTTAACAGGTGATTTGTACATTGGAGGAGTGGCCAAAGAAATGTACAAGTCCTTGCCAAAACTGGTGCACGCAAAAGAGGGATTCCAAGGCTGTCTTGCATCAGTTGACTTGAATGGACGGCTCCCTGATCTAATCTCAGATGCTCTCTTCTGCAATGGGCAAATAGAAAGAGGATGTGAAGGTATTAAATACGCTGACATTTTTTTATATAATAGTAGAAGTACTGTGTGAACCTTGCAGAGTTCTCCTGATATGTCGCTCCATACATGAAGAGACTATTTTACCTGCTTCTAATTAATCTTGTTTGACCTTGTCTTATATAAAGACTGCGGGTTTTTTTTAGCATTATGGAGACAAGCGCGTGCCTGCCCCACAGCACAGAGATTGATCTGAGAACATAAGTCTACCTTTTAAATGTTTAATGTAGGTTCAATCCTTCTCCAGTGGCAAGATATTTTGCATGTATTTTGTTTACTTCTGATGTATTTTAATTAAGGATAGAAACAATAACAATTAGCTTCAATGAAGTCCTTTGTATCTTCAAAACACTTAAGCATTAGCTAATGCTGAGACATTAGTTAATTAATTCCATTTTTAAAGAAGACATTTTGAGTTGATTAATTCAAGGCTAATTTATGAAACTGTTTAAGATCAGTCTTCCATCTTCTCTAGTTTGCTCACCCCTGAGATTTGTATTGTCATGAGCCTTCCTATCTGAAATCAGTAACAGCCAAATATGTTTTATCTCACTTTTTTTTAATGTCTTTATTGACTCATCTGGAATATTATGGAATTTAAGCAAGGACAGAATTAGAAGAAGTGTGTTTGTAATTCAGGGGTGTCAATCTCTAGCTATTTTTCCAACTGTCATTTAACCCTGTGTTATTTTTACTATGATTTATGGAATAATTCAGTTCTTTGTCCCTGCATATATACTTTATTCACATAATTCTGAATTTTTTGATCATGTTCAATTTTATGTGTTATCCCCTTTCTCAAGTGCCATACAGACGAGGACAGAAAAATGTTAAAATGACACTGTAGAATTTCAAGTCAGAAACCTGATGAATTTGATATCAAGTTTGTTAAGTTTGCAAACAGACATTGTAAAAAATCCAAGCAGAGCTGGGGGGTTTCCTCAAGCTTCACAAGATAAAGCTTTCTGTTTGATAAATTCCGGCTCCTCTTCTGTTGTTCCTGCAGCATGTTTGTACAGGTGGAACTTTTTTTTTCTTTACCTGTTACCTTTAGTTAAAAGTATAAATACTATTGATGGTACATAGAAATATGTAAAATTCACAACTTATTTTTCCATAGCTTTAGTGTCTATTTATTTCTATCAGGAATGGAAAAATATGTATAAATTAGTTTGTCATTGAGTTTAGAAAATTAGATTCTGCTTTCTGAATGACATTAGCAGGTTCCATGCTTGCGCTAACCCTTCAGAGTCAAAGTATGCCTTAATTCATAGATTCTTTTGAAATTAAGTACTTTTCTAAATGAATTTTATGTACTTCAAAGAAATATTGCTACAGGCCTAGAGTGTGAATTCACCTTTTAAACCAGTGGCACAACTCAACTACCGGTGAATTTAATAAAGGCCGTACAAATATTGTCCTTTTTGGTGGAGAGTCAGCTTTTTCCAACGCCAAAATCATCTGACACAAGCAAAATGGTCAAACCAGACGTGCTGTCTGGCTCCCAGAGAACTGCCTCATCAGAAGTCTTTTGCCCGCAGAACAGCACGGAATGAAATATTCCCTTCCAACCTTTCTGCTTAACCCTCGCCAAGTAGCTCTTCCACCTCACTCATTTACTTCAAGTCTTCCTGTCTGACCCATCTGTCAGTCTCTTGTCTGCAGATCATGGATCGGATGTACAAAAAAATGTTCTGACACCTAAAATATTATTTAAGTCACTTGCACATTTAGCTGCCTCCTAGAAGGCTCTTGTATGCCTCAAGCTGCTGTGTACAGACAGGACTGCCTCCACCCTTACAGAGCTGAGCGATTTTGCTTCTCTCTCATGCTGCAGTGGGATGCATAAGCTCTGTAAGTGCCCTGAGATGGCAAGTCCAAAGGGCCCAGGACACAGCAGTAGAAGTAGTTTCAAAACAAGTATTAGTCACCATCACCCTCAATCCAAAAGACAGCTGGCTGTACTGGTGGGTATATGTCATTCGTTAAGGCATCAGCCTGCTGCAAAATCTTTCCTGAGAAGTGAGGAACTTGAATTTGATGTTCCTCAGACTCATGGGGTTAAAATCCCCACCTTTCAGGTACTAAAAAAAAAAAAACCAAAAAAAAAAACCCAACAAAAAACCTGGGGTGAAAGCTCTTTTTCTCTCCTCTGTCAAACTGTTAAGCCATGATGTACCACTAATTAATTTTATCTGTTAGGATTTTGTTCTTAAAGGTTGATATTTCTCAATAACTTTACCGGCATAAATGCATGTTAAAAATTCTTTCTTTGGAACATTTTTTTGCAAACCCACACATGGGATTGGTGTGGCAAGTTGTAAGGCTTGCATTTCGAAGTTTCAGCCACAGGCAGATAGATATCTCTGTTCTCTATCATTGAGCATTGAATATAATTCACACTTGGCTGAATCCACCTTGTTGACAAATTTTCAATGGCTAGAACAGATAGAAACTAACAGCTAGAAACATAAATATGCTAACTAGTTCTTTGAATTGTTAACAGTAAACCTCAGAGCCAGGTTGTAAGTGTCAGCCCTGTTTTTCTCTAGTCAAATCCATTGTACTTTCTTTACACACTTTAAACAAAGCAGAATTCTAGAAATTACAGGATGATAAAAAAATACTTTTAATATACTTAGGAGGAAAATGCACTGTGTGCATATATAATAAAAATTTGTGTATTAAGTGAACTATATGAAAAGTTTCAAAGTATTAACATACATAAAGATTCTTGGTAGTGAGATATGGAATTGGGTTTTGCAATATATAGTAAAACACTGTACATGCTACTTAAAAATGCTTTTTGTGCAATATATAGCATGTAAGACCTCACATAAGACAAATGTAAATGAGAGACCAAATCCAGTCAATTAAAAAGTCTGCAGTGAAGACTGAATAAATTAGAATATTTAAATAGAATGTGAATCAATAGGTGAGTGCTTGAGAATAGTGTATTACAATATTTTTACTAAATAACTTAGTTCTGTAATATATATAGGAAAATATGAACCTGTTATGGTAGATGTTATAGTATTTACCGACATCAAAGAGTCCTCTTCTGTTCTTTAAAAAAAAAAGTCTTCTTTTATTAAAAGAAATTCTTGCATGTAAGCTAGTCTTGATGCTATTTTTTTAATGACTACTACTATAGATAAGCAAAAAGTGCTAAGAATCAATTTCATACAAAGCAAAATACCCAGCATTTCAATAAGATCCTATCTGTATTTTTTCCAAACATGTGTGTTTTAACGTGCACTTTTTAACGTGCCTACAGGGTCCTGCAGTTTATGTACTTTTAAGTCCTTGTGACTTTTGCTCTACTTTTGCAACGATGAGGAAATTTAACATTGCATAACTAAAGTGTAAATAAATGCATGAATATATAACATTTAAACACCTACAGATATTTTCACTTCATCTTTGTAAAGTTTCCGAGTAGCAGAATCTGGTGAGAAAAAAATGTGTCTTGTCTTGTCAGCTACGGGATTCTGTCATTATAATCCTCAGCTCAAGAAAGGGTGATGTAATGCCCAAATGTTTAAACTTCTGGGCTCAAAACTCCAAAGAAAAGGAAATCACTATCCTATGCCTGCCTACTGCAGTCAGTCAGTCCTGGGTATATTATCGATGTTGTTGTTGTTGTTATTTATTATTATTATTATTATTATTACAGGAGAAAATAGAACAGTTAATAGTGTTGCTGAAACAGGGATGCAGCATACGCTGCCCTCATTCTTAATCACACCGTTGACTGTTCAGGCCCTTGTTCAGAGGTGTGCTCGAGCCGTGTCTTGTTTGAAGAAAGTGGCCATTGAACTGACTTAAATCATATTGAAATCGATTTTTCTAAAATATGGGCAAATCAAAAGAAAATCCCACACTGAGGCCTTTGAAGGAGCTGTAATGTGAAAGAAGGGTTAAGTGGATTTCTCTCTACAGGATGATTTAGGATATTTATATAATCTTTGCACCAGTTTTGCCCTGTCATCAAAGAGTTGCAGTGGGAGTTTCAAATGGATATTGATGTGTCTTCTCCAAAACAGTTTAGGAGAATTTTATAATCCCAGAACCAAATTTTTCCTTGTAGTGTCAAGAGTCAGTGTGAAATGTGCATGTGAGCTCATAGTAATCTGTAGTTCATGGTCTGTATTTCAGTCTTCGTTCACCACCCATGAAGAAAGGGCTAGAAAAAAAAAAAGCCCAGAAAGGATGACAGTGCTAATTGTTCTTGAATTCAGCATATCTGAACATGACAAATGGCTAGTCAGGATTCAGCCATGCATTTACTCTGCTAATGCAGTCATATCTATCCAAAGAAGAAAAAAAACTTTTAATTTTCTTCCATTATATGTCATCAGCTCAATTAACCATTATATTTGTAGTAAAATACTGGCAAATTACTGCTTTCTTATTTTGGCTTGCCTGAAGATTTATGGCTATTAGCATTAATTTGTTTGCATTATATGGCATTTCTTTCTCTCTTTAACAGCAGCATGCACTTTACTCTGAATTTTTTTTTCTGTGTTTGCTGCCATTTCAATATTGCTTACTAACATTTAATATATTTTGCTTTTTTATTTTGCTGACAAAGTTGCATTGATGAAAGCTGATTTGCAAGGTAGATAGCCCTGTGTGTATCAAACAAGACTGAAACCCCCAATGCACAGTTGGATTTCTGCAATAAAAGCTCTGTATATTTCAGAACTAAAATGTGTTACGTTATTTCAGATTTTGACTTTCACACCTCTAAAACAATAGGCTACATGAACCTTCATTTTCCAGCGTAGCTTGCATAAAGGCTTTCAGTCTTGCATATGTTTGTATAGTGATTGCTTTAGTGCTTTGATCATTCCTTTTCAAATTTCTTTACATTTCAGTAGTCTAGTTATGATTCTCTAGAAATAGAGTAGCTTTTTTTTTCATGTGTATGTCACATTTTGGCATGCCAGTTCATGAGTAGTCTGATTTTCTGCATTTCCCCTTAAAAAAGGAACCTGCATGGGATCCCTTAAGCATGTGAATCAGTACTTGTCAACATTCCTGCCAAAGAATCCCAAACTCCTTTTAATTTCAGACCTAAATAATTTAAAATAATCTGTGGGATTAAAAGCACTGTATAGTGTAGCTTCATTTTTTTTATTGTTTTGTTTTGGTTTTAATTTTATTTTCCAATCTTTACTTTCATCTCCCAGAGCTTTGCTTTCTGTGGCATCTGGCTTTGCTGTTTGAAACGTATTTACAGGAAAAAATAATATTGAAGTTTTTAGAAAACAATTACCCAGTTAATGGTCTGACATGAGATTAACAAATAACTTGCAACAAAGTTAACATTCCCACTCTACTGGAATAACTGCTTCAGTTTGTGCATTTTAATGTGTTTGACATATCTATCTTAAAAACTAAAGAAAAACACCCTTTTAATATTTCATGCTGCTACGAAATCAGCAAGTTTATGTGCGTTTTACTTGGTAACTCTTTGTTCATTTGATTTGAGATGTTGGCAAATAGTTAATGTGATCCAATGAGAAATACCTTTCTCTGGAAGACAAAGTGCAAGTCCTTTTTTGTATGTTCTCATCAGGCCCCAGCACGACGTGCCAAGAGGATTCATGTGCAAACCAGGGAGTGTGCTTACAGCAGTGGGATGGATTCAGTTGTGACTGTAGTATGACCTCCTTCAGCGGACCATTATGCAATGACCGTAAGTACACTAAAAAATGCTTATCTGAACGTTCAAGAGCTTTAAAGCAATATTTGAAGCAAGTGTCTGAAGCTTTATATTATTTTAATATTGGATATTTAAATGAACTGGCAAACCCGGTGAAAATCTGTAAGGCTTGTGGGATGAACATAGCTAAAATACACAGTATAAATTTTGGACAGTGGGTAGTATCAAACACTGACAGAATTTGGGTTTATTACACTTGATTGTATGTCTAATATACTGATGGTTACCTGTTTGAAATGATCCTTTTCCTGCATAAATGTTACAAATAGGGATTTTTTTCCTGATTGAAAAAACCTTTGCATTTTATTATCTTAAGCTATATTGTAATTTTGTAGCATTATATCATGAGGGCTATAATTACTGTGGAACAGTTGACAAGGCTCATTATCTCCCTTTGTAGACTTCTTTAGATGACACACTAAGCATGCCAATAATAAAAGCATGCCGAGTGTTTTAGTTCTTTTAAATTTCATCTGAATAAAACCACATAACATACACCAACCATCTGTTCTTTCAGGAAAAACTTAAATGTGTCAAAAATAAGGGGCCTGATTCACCAATGTCATAGTCTAGTTTTATTCCAATCTAGCCTTATTGATCTAAATAGAATTATGCAGAAGTGAAAGTGGAATAGTAATGCAAGAGCCATAATGATCCACGGTAACTGATTAAAGCAAGCTTACTGACTTTTCTTTTTAACTCATCACATTTGAAATATCCAAATGTTGCACATTTTTATATCCATATGAAGAGGGAATTTCTTTAAGGGTAAGCATTTTTATTTCTATTTTTATACGTTTATCCGAATGAATGACTGATGGTAGAAAGTGATGGTATAACTGTCTAGTCAAGAATTTTGGATTTTTATGTCTTGTTCTGGTTCTTCACTCTACAGCTAGGTGTACCTTCTTGGGCAAACCCTAAAATAACAGAATAATTATAATCTAAAACCTTTTGGATCAAATTGTATCTATCACAAGGCTAGAATATGAATTATATGTAAAAGCTACATCAGTTATTCTCATGAAAGTTCCACTTTTCTACTCTTGACCATGCTTGAAAACTATGGAAAGGATTCACCTCAGTCTGTTTCTCCGCACTTGCTGTCATGGTAGAAATGATATGTGGTATCAGAAAACTTTCGATAATTAGAGCAAAGGTTTGGGTTTACTTTATGTATATGGGTTTGCCCTCCCCAGCAACATGAGTGACTAGTCATACTGCTAAACATGTATTTTTAAAGATTTCAGTCCCTATCTGCCACAGGAGAAAATTATTTCTTTCTGTTTTGCTTTTAAGTTGTTACTTCTGTTTTTCTGTAAGCTTTGAGTTCTTTCAAAAGTAACTAAAAACTATGAATAAGAAGTTGTATATTCCACATCTAGAAAAGGAAGAACTGTGTTTATAAATTTGTCTATTAGTAACTGATGTCTGGACCTGGAATATTCTAAGAATTATTTCTTCAAGTGACAGCTAATGCATAAATTTGGTGAATTTACATAAGAAAGATATTTACCAATCTGTGAAGGCTCGTTTGTATAGTAACATTATGGACTACATTGCACACAATCAGATAATTCTCAATATACCATTTCTGATGATGGTAAAGGAGTACCTTTAGTGCATGGCTGCCAAGATTTCTCAGATAACTTTTTTTTTAATGTTGTTTTATCACAAACATGAAATATAAATTTAACCTAGATATAGATGTTTTGTAATATAATACAGAGTCTGGTAAATACAATATGTTTGGTTTCTCTTTTATCTTGGCCCCTCAGATTAGTTCAGACATCAAAAATCTGCAAAGCGAATCTAATGAGAGATTTTCATAATGGTATGTGTGAGAGAAAGGAGGAGAAATGATTCTGTAATCTCAATGTCATCTAGTTCTCCTAGACTGCTCTCTGCTGTGTCTTGGAAGAACATAATGGAAAGAGGAATGATGAAATGTTACTACAGTTTTTAGTAACATGCATAGGCTGCATACCAGAGGCTAAACTTCTCAGCACTGAAGAAAAACAAATTCCCTTCATGTGAAGAAAGATTATCTCAGTGACAGGTCTGGAATAGCACCTGCTTGTTGCTGAAAAAATGCTTCCCCTTCAGAAGGACGTAGGCACATTCCTGAGTGGTTTGTGTGAGCATGTTTCCATTGAAGATTGCACATGGAGACACTGGTTGACAGAAACTGAAATCTAACCCAGTATTGCCACACAGACAGGCCCTTTGCTTACTTTACATTTGAATGTACTGTTTTATGTAAAATGGAGTATTCAGAACATTAGAATCTCATAGGTAGAGATTTTTTGTTATCAAACCCCCAAACTGACCACTTAAAAATATGTGTCAGTGGTTTATGGAGATTTGCATCCCTCCTGTATTGGATGTCCGTGACCTTGGGCTGCGGGGGACTGCAGGATGACCTTGGTGAGGAGAGGCTGGGACTGCCCCATGCTGGGCACAGCCAGCTCCAACAGACCCACCACAGGGCACAACTGAGTCCTTCAGCCAAGCTGGTGGCACAGTTATGAAAACATGCTTAGAAAGTGTGCCATTCTTACCAAAATGCCGGACAGATGAAGGAGGAGGGAACAAAGAGACTGAGAAACAGCAGAGGGAACACCAAGGTCAGAGCAGGGGGAGTGGGCAAGCAGCTGGGTGGGAGTTTGGCCCTCAGTCACACCTTCCTGTTACTTTGTTCTTCATTTAACCCACCACACCTCCTCACTATTCTGTTACACCAGTTCTTAGGGAACATATTTGAGTGACAAAATGGCTGAGGTGAGAGGGGACCTGTGGAGATTGTCTAGTACAACCCCTCTGCTCAGAGCAGAGTCAGCCAGTATAGGTTGTCCAGGGCTGTGTCCAGTTGGATTTTGAATATCTCCAAGGGTGGAGACTCCATCACCTCTTTGGGCAACCTGTGCCAGTATTCAGTCACCCTCACAGTACAAACATTTTCCTTATATTTAAATGAGATTTCGTATATTTGTGTCTATTGCCTCTTGTCCTGTCACTGGGCACCACTGAGAAGAATGTGTCTCTGTCTTCTTTACTCCCACCCATCAGGTATTTTAAAACATTAATAAGATCCCCATTGAGCCTTCTCCAGGGCCTCTGAGCCTCTCTTCATATGAGAGATGCTTTGAGCCCTTAATCACTTTTGTGGCCCTTTGCTGGACTTACTCCAATATGCTCATGTTGCACTGGGCAGCCGGCACCAGGAGACAGTGCTTCAGATGTATCTCAGCAATGCTGAGAAGGGAAGGATTACATCTCTTAACCCTTCTGCCACGTTTTTCCTAATGCAGTCAATGAGGCTTTTGGCCGCCTTTGCCACAATAGCACATTGCTGACTCATGTTCAGCTTGGTGTCTACCAAGATGCCCAGATCCTTTTCTGCACAGCTGCTTTCCAGCTGGCCAGGCCCCAGCCTGTCCTGGTGCATGGGGTTATTCCTTCCCAGGTGCAGGATTTGGCATTTTCCTTTTGTTTTATGAGGTTCTCGTCAACCCACTTTTCCAGCTTGTCAGCATCCCTTTGAATGGCAGCACACCCATCTGGTCTATCAACCACTCTTCCCAGTTTTCTATCATCTGCCATTTGCATAGATGTGCACAAGTTACCTTGCTGCGTTTGAGTTGATAACTTTCAGCTTGTTTCCTACAGTAACCTCAGTGTACAAAGGTTTGACATGCATCGTTCCTAGGCTTTACAATGTAAATGTTTCACGTGTCATTCTTGTCTTTAATTTCCAAAACAAAGAGTTTAGAGGAAATAAAGGAATAAACCATTTCTTGAAAAATGTTACAATAATACATTCTACTAATAGAGTGTGCAAGAAATTTCTTTAATCTTTCCTACAGCAGCAAATCATTACTCCTATGCTGTTCAGTGTACCTTATTCCAGGTGAAAATGCACACAGCTTAAAATGATGATTTTTAAAAGTTTCTCTCAAAATAAGCATCATGTGAGGCAGGTTGTTTCCTTCCCAGTCCAAGAGTGTCAGCTAGAGAGGAGAAGTTTAGAGAATGTAGTCCTACAGAAAATTGCCTGGGCCCGCCAAGTGTAAGGCTACAGTTTTACAACTGTAGGTGAACACCCACAGTTTAATCCACAAAAATTTTGCTTAGTTTCAAATTCCAGTACTTCACTAAAGTGTGTACAGAGTGTCTGTAGACCATCAGCCTCCATGGTGGCACAGGTAGGAACATTCTATGTGCTGCAGTTTCCTATTTACTGGAAGATAAACAAGGCAGGGGAAGTTTCTGCTATACAGATTATCATTTTCTCTTTTGATGTAGTATGACACTTGGAGATCCAGGGCAACAGTGCTCTTTAGATGTGATAGACAGAAGTGTTACACTGGTAAGTGTAAAGCAGACCAGTACCAGTTGTTCCTGCAAAATGGGATAATATAGAAGACTGTACTAAAAGGACAGTTAATGGCTGTTCTTACAAATGGATGGCTGCATGCAACTCCCCTGAGAAAATACATCACGAGCATCGTAACTATTTCTAACAGCAGGTTAAGTAGTTACAGCTATCTTTCCAGGGAATTCAGCTTTTTTGTAAGAGTAGGGTTGAAAATTACTCTGGCAAAACAAAACAAATCTATCAGAGATTATCTGCTTTCTATAAGTTTACATCTGTTTTTACTCGGGCAGTCTTTAAGTATAGCCATATTAGTGAACGTAATGGCATGTTTGTAGAAACAAATACTGCTATTACGGCATAGAAAATAGCAGATGTAATAACATTGTCACATTACATTAGTATAGAAACGTTCTGTGCCAAATTACAGGGCAGCTTCAGGACTGTCTGTTACCATAAGGGAATAATGTATTGGCGTTGTACTTGTGATGGTAGAGCTAACACTGTGTCAACACTTCCATTAAAATCAATTTCTGAAGGTTTAGAACTTCACCACGCAGTCTCTTCTGACTAGAAATTTGACATTCACAACCACTGT